TTTTGTTACAGCATGCTCATTTTTCTTATGTGCAGTTCAAAAGCCTTTATCATTTTCTTCTCAAGCATCCCATCTTAAGATTTTTAATATCGAACGGATCTTTTTGAATAATGCTTTCAACACCAAAGCCTTTCACCTTATTAGATAAAGATAACTATTATCCAACAGCCCCCTTTAATCTCCTAACAAACACATTCTATTTTCAAAGGCTATTTGAACCATTTGACAAAGTGCTTATAACCACTTTGTATGTCCCCCATGATTTTATGGGCTATATTGGGTGAAAAATACATTCTTATTAAGATTTGATCATATGATGGCAAACATGACTGCCATGGAAGTTACAATGTATAAAACAGCTATTGAAAAGAGAAAAGCAAATATTTTATTTCCTGTTCGGTGGGTTTTTGTGTAGAAAGTTCGACTAAACAAAAGTAATTTAGAATTAAAGGTAAAAACAAATCATTTTTTTCACAGTAGCCAGCATTCCAAAACCAAATATATTGCAGTTATAGAAAATTACAATTTGTTTTATTTTGCTTTATGCATCATCAGCAAAATTGCCTGTTCATCTCTTCTACTAGAATCCATATCGTGGGTACTAACAGTAAGAATAATACAGGGGGTACAAAGAGAGTTTTAGCCATTATGTGGTGAGTGCAAGCCCATAAGTTAGAAAAACTGTGTTTTGACTGTTATTTTGAGTATTGGTGATATCTCCATTAAGAAAATAATTGGATCAATTCTTTTTTGCTGAGGTATTTTAGCAAGGAAGCAACAACTTAAAAAAATATTAATTTAGATGACCATAGAACTCTATCCATGTTTCTCCCTCAGCAATCTTAAATTCTGACCCTGTGCATGATTTAAGTAAAGTGGTGTTGAAGAGAGTGATGTAAGGTAGAGATCATAAACTTTTATTTTATACCTATTGCAGCAGAAGAAGGTAGATATAATCACTGTGCACTGCAGCAGATCCTCAGAACATCACAGTACCTTGACTCTGTGCTTTCGAATAATGACAATAAAAGAAGACCAGTTACAAAGCAGAACATTTCACAATATATAAAAAACAGTAGAAAGAGTATTTTTTCACTCAGTGTGAGTATGTCTGGCATTTCAAGGGACTGGAAAAACTGTTAGAATGTAATTTGTTATCTCTACACGCTTGCTTTAAACCACAGCTACAAGGCTTTATTTTGGAAACTGGGAATAATACCAACACTAAGGGCATGCTCTCACTTCGGTTAAAGTATATTTTTATTAATACAAACTTTAGATATATGATAGTTAAGGCTGAACTTATTTCAACTGACTTGTACAGTTTATGCTGTTATTCATTGTCGCATTACTTTTGGACTGGGACTTTCAAACAGACCTTAGGGAGTTAAGTGTCTCAATCTGACTGAAACTTAGTGGGAAATGGATATTTAGTTACCCTGGGGCCTCTTAGAAATTCCTGGCTAGAAACTTGCCAGCTTCCTGGAATTTTATAACACATAAATACAGGTGATATTTGTCGATTTTCAGTGCAGAAAAGGGTGGTTTGCTGCCCTTCCTCCACACAGGAGAAGGAACAGCCAGATTAAATCAGGCATGGAGTGGCTGTACCCTCAGCAGGGAGTGTGAGGGCAGCAGGCTCTGCCTGTGCTGAGCCCCCTGTCCAGCTGCCCTCCCTGGAGAGAAAAGGAAAGTCTGCATACTCTGAGCTCCTCTGGTTGGACCCAAACATTCCTGCCAGCTAAACCAAGCCCATTTGCTGCCCATGCCCTCTGGTGAAGCCCTGGCACAGCAGAGCAGCTGAGCCAAAGCATCTGCAGGGTGTCGCTGGTCTGGACCCTCACACAGGGAGAGCCCCTCCTGCCCCATCCTGACCTGCTGTGGGAGGGCAAAGTGCTGCTGGTGGCTCTGGAAGAGAGGTGGTGCACCCCACAGAGGGCTGTGAGTGGAGCAGATGCACAGGATATGGGATGATGATGTTGCCACGAGTGTTTGGGGAATGCTGTCGTTCCCAAGGGTGTCACCAGCTGCCTGCACTGTGGCAGGTCGTGGGGGTTCCCTTACTGAAGAACAAAGCTGTGAATGGGTGACCCCTGAAGCTAAAGGTGCTTATCCAAGGGAGAAGGCATCTGAGGACCAGGACCTTGGAGAATGTGCCTACACCAGTATTTATGGGCTTTTGTGTTTTCTCATGTTATTGATGTGTTGGTATTGGACCCAGAGTGATTGTCTCATTAGTTTTCAAATGAGAATCATAAAAATTACAATCATAAACGTGCAAGACTCAGCTACCCACTACAGAAGCAAAGCTACTAGAAGAATATTCAGTCTGGCAGTCTCATTTCTTGGTCTTTGATATCCATGTGAAGGTATGGACGTTTGATAAGCCCTGTTTCATTTTCAGAGAGTTTTGTAGAGTGAGCTTGTTTATATGTTTAAGAATACCTTGTTAGGTAGTTTGTACAAATCAAGAGTCTCAGGTTGCATGCTGGTAAACTAACCCTCTAGGAAACCCCAAATACTATTATGGCTTTGAAGCAATAACCTAGATGTTTCCATGTGCTTTTTTCTGGCTGCAAGAGAGCCTTTTTCCCCTCCAGAAATCCCATTGCCCCAGTCCTCAGTACCCCAGCAGATTTCCTACTTTGTTTTCATGCTATTTTCTGAGATATAATTGAGAATGTGGATTATGTAAGGATTTATTTTCTTGGTCATAGTCTGTGTTGGAGGTGTGGGGTAATCAGATGAAAAGATGGTGACTTCCATGCTGCTGCCCAATTTCATAATTATTGGTTCATAAGTTAAAAAAAAGTTCGTCTGAATGTTTCAATCTTTTCCCCCAAAAGATCATGACACTTCAAAATAACATGATCTTGTCACATTGTTAGTGAGAAAGATACTACTATGCTTCAAATTTTTTTGGCATTTTGATGTGTTGTGTCAGGGTGCATCAGTCATATCCTGGGCACACACAGCAGTGGGATTGACAGCACTAGAGGAGAGCACAGCAGTTCCAGCTGTTCTTTCTGAGTAAAAGATATTCAAAGAGATGGGGATGTTCCTGCTTCTCATCTTTTTAAATGAGGTTTAACCCCCCTCTTTCACATCTTCCTCAGCTCCATGGCTGTCACAAAAGCCACTCAGCCACACCCACTCCTGTTGACACCACAGTGTTTCCTGATGCACAGGATCTAACTCCTTGGAATCTTGTCTGTGGGTGGGATGGTTGCTGAAAATACTGGCCGTGCTATGGGAGTATCAGAGCCCAGCCATCCATTTCTGATTTCTTCAAACTCAAAAGGCATCTAGACCCAGCTTCTGAGTCTCTGTAAAAGAACTTTTTTTTTTCTTTTTCTTTTTTAACTCTCCCCCATGTGGCTTTAGCGGTTGAGATCCACTAAAATACCCTGAGTGTGAGCTAAATTCAAATGGATTCCCTGAGCTTTTTCTTAATGCTGAATTTGAAGAAGGAGATCTGAAAAAGTCAAACACACATATGCAGGCTGCAGGCGGTATTTGGAGAGAGAAAAAGGCCAATTTCTGAACCGGCTTTGTTGATTGAAATAGAGCCCCAGTGATTTGTATCCACTGAGGACTTGGCCTGACGTGGTGAAAGGTAAAGCACAGGCTTAATCTCTTGAAATCCTTCTGAAATATTTTCCCTTCCCTATTCAATTTTCTTGCAACCACGTTTTTTTTCCCATGAAAATCAAGTCAGTTCTGAAAAGCTCTCTTTTCCTAATGCACCTCTCTCTATGGTATAAGTGTTAAGTAATATCTTGGTAATTTCATATTACATAGTATATTGAAGACCAAATGAACAGCAACCAAGAAGAAAAAATGTGAATGAATGTATTACTTGCAACTAATTAAACTTATTTGGAGTGCCTGATCAATGGTATATTAGCAGAAGTTGTGGAGAGAGCAGAAGTGGGATTCAGATGTTGTGCTTCACTAGAATGGGAAGCAAAAACACTTTAAATTCCATTTTGCTTTACTATCTTGTCATTTGCTTAACAGTGTGGAAGATATTTGTTTGGGATGAATGGCACTTGTCGGTTGGATTTTTCATCTAGACACTTTAAATTAAGTTGGTGTTCAGGGTTTTGAGTCATACTTTGCACATCTTATGAAATACTGTCACTCAGAGCACCTATAATGAAAAAATCTCTTAGAGTGGTATAATTGTTCTCTGCTAAATCTGACCATTAACCTTTTATACTCTTTGCAAAATGATGATGAAATGCTGGTGTTTCTTCTTGATTATAAGCAGGAATCAGAAGGTGAGTGCTGTGCAGCAGTCATGTAAGGTACTGAGATCTGGGTTATGTTGGCACACCCACAATGGTAGCTCTCCAGATCCTATCCTGGATTGTTCCACTAAAACCCCAGGATGAATATAAAATAAAATCCAGGGCTGGTCTGGAGATCTGGCAAATAAATGTGCTGTTTTAGGCACTCTATAAGGCACAATTAGAGAGTCATAAGACCCACTTCATCACATTGCTTTGGCATTTGGTTAAATTGAGAGCTATTTGGGATGGTTCAAAACTAGGTTAAAGCCAACAGTGCTTTTAAGTGCTAATTTGATGGAACTTTGGAATGACCTTAAACTTGTGTAGATGCCAATGTGAGCAGAGCAGCTTTTCTAAATTCTAAGTGAATTAAGATGCAACAGGTAAAAAAAATTCTTATGAGTGACAACCCAAAATTCAGAGTCTGGGTAAGATATGCAAACCGTATGTTTACATTGTGAAATCTTCCTTGTTTGCAAAGGAGTAAGTACAGAGTAAAAAATTACAGTAAGATATCTAAATTCTTAAACTGTGGCTGTTGTATGTGTGAAGCTCCACCCCCCTACTTCCCTCCAGGATAACAGCATGACTGACTTTGTCTCCCAAGTGTTTTTTTTCTCTAGTGTACGCAGCTGGACTTCGTCCCCTTGCTCAGGAAATGCTGGTTATGGGACTGTGTTCCACTACAGTTTGTGTTCTTTTCAGGCGAGGACAGAGCTCCATCCTCCCTGCACTTCCAGCGTGAGCCCTGTCCTGGGACCCAGAGAGCTTTGGGAACAGAGCCCCCGGCTTCTGAAGGTACTTTGCAGTAGAAGTCCCCTGCTCAGTGACAGCTGCCAGCAGGGTGAGCTGCCTGTGCATGTTGACCTGAAACATGTAGGAGCCATTTGGTCCTTCAGTGGTCAGTAAATATCAGCTGATTCTCCTTTCTTGTAAAGAAAACTGGTAGGAGTCAGATCATTGTGATGTGCTGTCTGGATTGATAAGGGCTCTGGCTTAGCCAAGCTTGAGGAAAATCAGGAAAGAATTAAGGCAAGTTTATGTAAAAACACTGAGGGAAGTCTATATGGGAAATGTAATTCCTGTGCAGAACCAGAATCTCACAAATTAACAAATCTGACACATACAACTCTTGTGTAGCAGTTAGGAACCATTTACGTCCTTTGTCAAGAAGAATGGTTTTCATTCCTCAAATTCAGTCTTTGTATGAGTTTTTACTGCCAAGATCAGTGAACTTTCTCCTTCCTCTTTCTTTTTCTTTTTTTTTAAACCTGTAAGATATCAACTCTACATAGACTCCCAGTGGAGGTGAAGAAACAGCTCTCAACTTCATGAGTAAATCCCATGTAGGAAATAGAAGAATGGTCTCTCTAACTACACTATGTATATTCCATCTCTGACAAGATTTTTGCTGGGAATTAGCTTTATCCTTCCAGGATTGCCTGGTGAATGTGAAAGCTGTGCTTCTGAGACTGAGTTTTTCCATGCCTGGTGGTGATGTGATTGTGCACATGTGGCTCAGGGAGCACTGATACAAACCTAGTCCCACAAGCAGCACAGCTTCCACATTCCCAATCCACATCTGCACTGCTGTCAGCTCCGCCGTGCTTTGGGTGTTCTCCACGTTGTCATTATTTGCTCAAAACTGCCACTGCATCACAGGGTGTAACATGTTATGAGCGGGAATCCTGGGTTTCTCTTATCATCAGCAAATGTGAAATGAGATCACGTAGGTGGAGGTTGTCATGACTTATTTCTTGTATGTGATGCAAAAACATTAACAGGCTTGTTAAAACAACAAATAAAGTCATTTGTTTTTTCTCCATCTGCAATGAATTTCTAAAAGATACTTTGTATATAATTTTTTTTTTCTTTAGTTCAGGGCTTGACCCTGCAAATATTTTTGCTTCTTGAACTGCTTCTCTAGGTGATTTCAGTGGAAAAATTACCATATGATCATTGACTATTCTTTTAGAAAACAATTGCTTGCGTACTTAACAGTTTGAGAGTAAGGCTTTGTGATGCAAAAAAAGCAATTTAGTATTGTAATCTTTATCTTAGAAATTATTAACTTCAGATAATTCAGTTGAGTGTGAAAGAGAACAAACTTCAAAGCTAACTTTTACCTCAGGAAATAGAGAATTTTAGAATAACTGTGTTGAGTTTTCTGACTTTCTTTCATCCCGTGATTCTTTCATGCTTTTAGGTAAACTGTGTTTTTTACTGGCCTTGAAGCTTTCTTTTATTCGTTTATTTGAAAAAATAAATCTGTTTCTAGGTAAAACAAGATGATATTATTCAGGAGACAGAAAGGAAATAGATAGAAATATGTATTATTATGATGCTTCTCTACTTGTGAGGTTTAGAGTAAGGGGAAATCAGCTGAAGGGGATTCATAGTTGGATATTAAAGACTAGAAATTATTGGACAAAAGTGAAGTAGACTGAGATGATGCTTAGCTGGCAAAGGATTCCTTAACTTTTGTTACTTGGAGACTTTGGAAGTGTGGAACTCAGAGAAGTGCACAAGGGATGTTTCTCCTGGACTGTAATCGCAGATCTAATCTGTTGTCAGGTTTTTGAAACACTTTTTGTTTTAAAAGTTTTGAAGGCCAGAGCCTTCACTGGACAATCAGCTGTGGTTACAGTATTTTCCAGGTGTGCCTGTTGAATAGTCTGGATAGAACAGTCCCTGGGGAAACGTGCAGCTCACCGTCCTTACAAACTTCCCGGGCTGTCTGCTCAAGGATCCATCAGCTGTCCCCAAGGTACCTGTGGTCTGTAAGGATGCAGCAGAAAACTGTCACACATAACAAGGCATGGCAAAGCAACAGGCTTTGTATGGATTTAGTAATTGTAGATCCTGAAAATCAGTTTGTGAAAGAGGCTGGGGAAGCTGATAGTGCAGAGCAGTTGTGAGAACCTTTTCGTGCTGCTGGTTGCAGACCAGCCTGATTTAAGCTGGGCTCAGGCCAGCTGTGTTTGTGCTGGTGAGGTTTAAAGTTGTTGCTGTTAGAAAGTCATCTACTGTGCCAGTGGGCTTTGCACCTGGGAAATTGTACCAAGTCTGCCGTGCTTGGGAAACAAAAGCAAGTTCATGAGCTGGGGGACAGGGGAGCATGTGGGTGAAGATTGTCAGGCTGTTTGGATACAGGTTGTTTTGGGACAGGACACTCACACACTCACCTCTTCGATGCACCAGAGAGATGTGCTTTATTTACAACTCAGTTCTTATAATAATGTTTATCCAGTATTGGAAGACTTAGCTCCTCTATTTTGTTCATTAAAACGCCACCTCAGGCAGGTTCTATATGTCAGAGGAATGCTTTATTTCATCCCTTCTTTACATTGCAAGGGATCTGGCTGCCAAACAGCTGCCTGAGCTGGCAAACTGAAGGGAGCTTGGTTTGTGCCAGAGGGATGACTGGCTGCTTCTGGCTGAGGAGGCTGCTCCTGCCTCCTGCCCAGCTATTCCTCTTGGGAGAGCAGGCAGGAGACCTGCGTGTCTGGGGCTCTTTGTGAGCACGTGCATCCTCTGCAGCTGTCCCTGTGCTGGCTTTGCAGGAGCGTGTTCTCTCCTGGGATGGGAAGATCCCAGCCTGCCCCAAGGAATGGAGACACGAATGGGGACTGTTATTCAGTGGCAGGGACAAGTGGCTGCCTGAGGAGAAATCCTGTGCCTTAGGTGAGAGGGGAAGGAGCCATCCAAGAGTGGAAGGAGGTGTTGTTGCCACCTTCAAAATCACCTTTGGTCTCTTGTTGAGTCCTCTTCCCATCAAATTTAGGGGTTTACTCTCTTGCAAGCCTGATGATGTGTTTCAGGTTTTTTTTTTTTTCTTGCTTTCAGATGTCTCCTTCTTCCTCCCTCCCTCCCAGGAGTTGCTCTCCAGTCACCTCTGCAAGCCTGTGTATTACCTGTGTTTCTGAAAGGTATGCTCAGGTTCTGTCACCTCTTTTTCAAATAGTTCAGGAGGGCAACAGCCAGAATTCCCAAAAATAAAAAATGCAGGATTTTGATAAATGCAAATACATTGTCCAATAAAATGATGCAGATTAACATACTTGATCACAATGTACCTTTGGCAAAAGTACTTGGGAGATTAAACCCAGAAAAGCTGTTTAAAAACTCACTTTCTCTTCCAATCCCTTAATCTTTATGAAGAGAAAAAGTACACTAGCACAATGTTTCCAAAAATTTGTTTTTAGTAGGTCTACAAAGAGTTAGCTAACTATTTTTTTTTTAACCTGCTGAGAATTCTGCAACCTGTAAAGTGCATCAACTGGGAGAGCTCAGCAAGTGTCCTGTTCTGCAGCCTGTCAGTCCCACAGTGCCAAGGTAACAGGGTGTCACTGCACTTCTCACAGGTGCTGTTTTCAAAGCCAGGATTGCAGAGGGCAGTAGAGTGAAAAATTTTTGCAGTGGTGTGCAAGTCCAAGAAGTCACATATCAAGGACTGGGAGGATCAGTGGAAATCCAAAATGCTTTGTTTAACCCCCAGTTCCACCTCTTTACCATCACTAGAGGAAGAGCAAAGCTCTTCTGCCAATAGAACTTCTTTTGTCAGAGCCCAAATGATTTATCATAGATTTGACACTTCCTTCCCCCTCAGTTGAAGTTGGTTGGTCTTAAATATTTCTGGGTGAAACATTTAAGTGATGCTTAGAACACTCTTATTCAATACTTCTTCATTGAGAAGTCATTTAAAATAATATGATGAAACATAATTGTCCATTTTTTTATTCTCTAGGAAGAGTTGACAGAGTATTTAATTTTGAATTTTGAAAAAAACAAGTTGTTTCACTTAAAATCTGATGGCCCTGCCCCTCATCGCCCCCCTGCAATTTCCCTACATGTATCTGCTAAAGGTAAGTGAATCTCATTGTTTCTAGAATTAAACAAGAATATTTGTTTTTAGGCAAGCACTGGGGGAAAAAAACAGAACATGCCAATGAAGGAACTGTTAACTGCTTTGTTCCAAACAGAGCTTCCCCCTCTCCAAATAATAATACTTAATTTGCAAGCAGGTTTTAAACAAGGTTGTGTATAAATTAGACCTCATAGAGCTGGGACCAATTTGTTCCCCTTAATTTGATTTACTCTTTAAATTTGAGGGAGATTGAAACGGTGACCACATACTGGTTAAGCAACGTGGAAAAGACCATGCCTGAAATGGAGAACTCTGTGGTTTCACAGGGGTTGCTGTTCTTCAAACTATGCTCTTTAAAATACACTACTTTAGTTAAACAAACACTATTATTAGCACTGCTGATAAGCACAGTCATGAGGATAGATGAAAATACCTCTGCCACTCAATTGAATTTTAGTAAAATTGATTGTATTTGAAGGTTCTTTAATCCTGTGCTACATTCTCTCAAATGATAAACAACACCCTTTTGGGCTGTTGCTGGTTTATGGAGTTATAGATAATCCGTTCCTTGGCTGGAATTGCAGCTCTGTCCATTTGAACAGGATCTGAGCTGGTCACTGTGTGGGCTATGGCAGCACTGTTCAGGATAGCTGAGGACTTGGTGCTTCAGAAAAAGGACATATGATGCCCAGGAAGTGATTTGGGTTTTTTGCTGGAAAGAACTTGCATTGGAAGCGAAAGCTCTGTGAACGTATTTGTATGTGCATGTATCTCTTGTTAGGTGGAGAAGTGCCTTGCTTCCCACATATCTGAGAATATAAAGATTATTTTTTCCCCCCCTTGATACCAAGCATAAGTACTTAAAAAACATGGAGGTCTGACAGACTGTATCTAAAGTCCAGAAAGGTTCTGTGCTGTGAAAATCTGTTGAAAAGCATTGAAGGTAACAAATGGCAAAATATTTCTTATTTTCTTTATTTTTGCAGGGGTTATACTCATGCCTTTCTGCTACCCAGCATTTGTTTAGATTAAAATTAGAATTACTAAAATACCATGGAGTTTCTTATTCCTGCAAAAATATTTTTAACTGGACAAAAAATGTATTCCAGTCACAGTTGCAGCAATATCTTTCAGATCCTGGCCTTGCTGTAGGTGTTCATTGAGTTCAGCCACGCTTCAAGTATTTTGTTCCACAGAATCATCACCTACAGTATTTCTGATTTTGGTAAGTTGTATTATCATGCTGATTCTGTATATTGCATTGTCTTTTACACAGAGGAAAAATGGCCTTTTTAAAGAAAGAAATCTGCTTAACTTTTGTCGCCCACAATAATCACTGAAGTATTCATTCTGCTCTTGATAAAGTAATGCCAAGCCCCCAAACCAGGATTTTAATTAACTCATGGAGAGTTTCTGAAGACCTGAACGTCTCTGTTTAGGTGTTTTGTTACCCTTGTTTCTACAGTTCTAATTGGGTCACTGTAGACAATTGGTGATGGTGGTATTAAATAAACTTTCAAAGTTGCTGGCTAGTGATTTGAGTGATTAAATATGGATTAGATTCAGAATAAGCTGATAGAAAGATATTTTGTTTTCTGACATGCTTAAGTTTATGAAGATGTTATGTCACATTGTATCTTATCACATTATGTTAATTTAGCACTGTGCAGGCTTTTGATGTGATATGCTCATTAGAATGTTTTCCGACTTTAGAGAAGTTTGTTACCAAGAGGCACAAGACTTGGCTCATTTGACAAAGCTATTACAGCCTAATGGAGTGGCAACATTTTAAAAGCTACCCAGATAAAACACATTGTGTGTCTGTGTGTGTGTTTACAACTATATAGTTTTAAAAGTAATTGCAGAAATGGACTTTATACTTCCCAGTAAAAAAGGTCACTGACTATTCTGGTTTCCAGACTGGACCTTAAAAAGACAGGTCAATCTTGCCAGACTTCTGCAGAGGTCAGGTAAGGTGTCTGAAGTGGAAAAGTCAGCTGTTTCTTTTTTCAAGTCTAAGGTAATCTATTCTTTTCTCATGTCCTCAGTGCACATAGTTTTTGTCTGAGTCATTGGCAACCAGAATTATTTGATATTCAACTGACAGACATCTTGCAGGAATGGCCTTTGGAGCCAGTCCTTATTTGTTTAGTTTTAGCTAATATCCGTGTGTATGCACAATTTAAGAAAAACAACAGTAATTTAAGTGACAGAAAAGGGGAATTAATTCAGAGCCTGAAGCAAGAACAGTCCTTTCTTTTGATTACAGTTCTGGTGTCTGAATCTGAATCCAGCATGCCCTGGATCTTTCTCTATTAGAGTGCTGTCAGACATCTCAGGGTGAAATTCATCTCCCTTCTCGTTACAGTGCTGGCAAACAGCAGAGCTAGGAGAAAGGTATTGTATAAAAAAGGAATTATTCTATCTTGAGTCTTCCTTTGTAGCATAAGCCCGGCTTTCTCTTCAATTCTTCTTCCTCCCAAACCCCCCTTCTCCTGCATTTTCCATTGTCATGTTTTTCCTACCTGTAATCCCTCTTGAGGCACGAGCAGATCCTTGGCAGTTGTGTTCCCACACACAGCAGTCTGCGTGGAGGTGTCTGGATTAAATACATACTGCAAAAAGCAGAAAATCTTGCAAGAGAAGAGCAGATTTTTGGGGGGGAGTACTCAGAAGCAAGTTTATTTTGTCGTGTGCTGGTGGTGTGGGCAGCACCATTGTATGAACCAAAGAAGAGCAGGTCCTGCCCTGAGGGCAGATGCCCTGAAGCTGCAGTGCTGCAGCATGGAGCCTGTGTATCCATGCAGAAATCACCTCCTTTATGCTTCCTTTCAGGACCCTGACAAGGCATTTCATAGCACTTCACTAAAATGTAGCAGGGGGAATAAGTACAAGAGGCTTGATGGTAAAACAGCATCAGTGGAGCTTGGGTTGGGCTGACCTCTGAAAAAATTGTGCAGAGCAAAACCTCTTAATGGGTGTTGCTTTGTGTTTTGACATTTGTAATGAACTGATATGAAATAAAGAACTGCTTCCCTTTGTTGGGAGGGAAAACTTGTACAGGTTGCAAAGAACATTTGAATGTTTACAGGTGAACAGGACTGTAGTGAAAGGATAAAATCTTTTGCCCAGAAAAGTGCACTGGCTGTGCATCCAGCAGAATCTCTTTTTGTGAGACTTAAGCACTTCAGCCAACTGACAAGGGCGTGTGTGCCTTCTCTGCCACTGGCAGAGCTCTTTTCCCAGTGAAAATGGGGGTTGTGTGGGATCACATGTGAATGTTGAGCTGGGAGAATTGACTGAACCAAATCCATCCAGCAAGACTGGAGGATGAACAACTGTGTGTGTTTGAGGTTTATGTGCTTTCTGAACGTAATGTCTGATACATTCATGGGGTTATTGGGATTCTTCCCAAGAAGACTGCAATATTATCACAGGAAAACAAAAGCAATTTACTAGAAAATATTGGAATTGTTTTTAAATCAATGTTTCTTGTTATTACCACAGACAATGGGAATAGAATCAATTCTAGAATTTTCCCTCCCCATCCCTACCATGTTTGCTTTGTGTCCATCCTCTTGCTAATCCCAGGTGTTTTCCTTCACTCAGAGAAAATGACAGTAGAGACTATTTTTCTGGGTTTTTTGTTATGCTTTGCTGTCCTTTTCAGTTTGTTCATATCATCAACTTCTCTTTAACTTCTCTCTGTGAGCCAGCTGAGCTCAGAGAATACTCAACGTGCACTGTGAATGGCAGATTGTCTGTCAGCACAAGTAAGTCTGGAGTCAATAGTAACCAGAGGAAAGAGAAACTGGGTATCTACAGGTAAACAGAAGTTCTTTAGTGCTCAGTTGCTGCTCAATGCCAAGAACAGCCAATAAAAAGTGACATGAAAGTGTTGGACACAAAAAAAGGACTAAAATATAATCTCTTAAATTAATTCATAGCATTTATAGTGGAAAATAAGGAAACCTAATAATAGTTTTCAAGGTGACTTCATAACTGTTCTTCTTTCTCTCAGTATATATAGGGTTGAACCCGGAAAATTTTGTGCATATGTTGTTGAGATGGAAATAAGTGGTAAAAATAAAATTTGTGGCAGATTTATAGTTCCTTATGAAACATACCCTTTGAAGAACACAACTCATGATCTAAGTTTGGCTTCCTGTTGTATGACTTTGCCTTCTCCTTACATCTTCATGCTTCCAGTGTGAGCCTGAAAACTCAGAGCGCTACAAAGAGAGGGATGCTGAGAAAGTGAGAGATTCCTTTTCTTTTGCATTGTGCTTTATATGGTTTATTTCCCAGCTTTTGGCATAATACTCTTATTCCTGGGAGTTTTGTGCCAAGTGTTATGCCTAAGTTGTTTCACCTTCATTGTAATTAATTCCTGTCTTGTCAGGTTTTGATTTATACTGGTTCATATTTTCTGTCGTTTTAGGTAAATATATTTTCAGCTTTTTTGAAAATGGGAGGGCTGGTCTTTTGTTCCAGTTTGGGACTGGCCTGTAAAGAACCTCTACCCTGGATAGATGTTCTTTCTGCTACTTGTACTTTGCAATCTTTCATGCCTGAGGAGCTAATTTATAAGAAGTTTTGAAGCCAGAAACCAGGCCACAGGATGCCTTAAAGACAAAAATTGAGCCTGCTCTAAGGGTCTGTAGGAAACCAAAGTAGAGGGCAGAAATGTTGTTCCTTCTGAAGTTTTCAAAGGGCTGATGGATGCATGCCAGAAATGTTGGATTCCTAAATAAAAGAAACAAAAGGTCACAGCTGAGGGCAGATTGTTGGTCGCCGAGGGGGTGTTCCCAGTCAGTGCCAGCAACATGGTCAATATTGGGTTTAAGTGTTGCTGTTCTGAGAGTCTGATTTCAACAGTAAGTCCATGAGCTCCTTTTCTCAATGAATTTGTGTCATGGAAACAGAATGCATTGCTGAGGTGAATTCCATGTCCTGTTCTCCATTGCAACCTTCTTTTTTCACCTGACTTCAGCTCCTGTCAGGTAAACTTGCCCACAAGTGTTGTGTTAATGTGTGGTCCTGTAGGGCATGTTTACTGATGGACTTACACCTGCTCCTGGGAGCCTTTGAGAGCGGGCAGCTTGATTAACAGTGTCAAAAGGTTAAGAGAGGTCTGGAAGGGTGAGAGCGGTGTTTGCTTATCATCTGCTGCCATGAGGAGACTTCTGCTAATCCTGTGTGTGCCCAGAGCCACTCCTGGATCCAGACTATGGTGAGAACAGTACCTGGATTCAGCTGCCAGCCCTTCGTTAGCTTTTAGCTCGTTTTCCTATGACCTTTAATCAGAATGATACTAAGGGACTGTTTGGCTGTGATCCACATACTCTTGCTTTTTGTGAGGGAAAAACTCTCACTTTTTGGAAATGCGTTTTTGAAGGATGAAAGTTAAATTTCTTCTCCAAGTCAGACATTGGCAGTTGTGACCAGCTAGGAGTGGAAAGGCAGGTAGGATGTTCTTGGGTGCACTCTCTGAGCCCAGGGCCATGGGCTTAGGACCTTTCTGAGCATAAGATGCTGTCTTTGAGTTTTCCCAGTGGATTTTTCCAGTTCTTTTTGAATCACTGTACACCTACAAACAATTCCACAGTAGAACTATGTATTTGGGAAATAACTTTGTTCCTGCTAATTTTACAAGGCTCTTGGTTCTTGTTTTGGAACAGAGAGTGAATAATCATTCCCTCTCACATTCTGTACATTATTCAACACTTTAGTCTGTGAATTGAAGATTTTTTTACTTTTGTCTCTGAAGTTTTCTACTGATAGAGAAGAATTAACGTCTCACTTAAGGCACACCATTTACACTTCACATTCTAAGAGAAAGGCAGTATAACATCTTATTTTTAGTGTCTACTTGGGCTCATGGTGGTTGAGAAACTCCACTGGCAGAATAAAACAACTTATCAGAGGTTTTTGATGTCAGATCTTAAAAATGCTGGTTTTGGCTCTGCTATATTCCACACCTCTTCATAAATGTGGCTTGTTTTAGTCCTGAGAGTTGTTTATTCTGAGTTCCAAAAGTCTGTAATCCCACATAACTGGCTCACCTTTACCAGCTGTCCAGCAGTGGGACCGGCTCTAGCAAGGCTTTAATACAGAACTGGGAAGATATCTGAATTTCTGTGTGGAAAGGATGAATGTTCTCTTTCAGAAATGAGAGGGGAAACACTGTCATTTTCTAAAGAAAGAATATTTTAAAATATTTAA